TACATCAGCGCGTGTGCAGTTAATGTGTGAACAAAAAAAGGGGTTTTTGTTTTGTTTTAGCTTCCACGTCATTCCTCAGTGTTTTAGCTGCATGGTGAAACATACGTGCACATCTTCATTATTTGACGGATTACTGTAACTTTATCACCAGAAGTAAATATTTCATCGTCGAATAGTTTGCTACATTGATTGCATCTTTCACAATTTACTGCTTTAGACAAGTTCAGACGTAAATGCTTTGAATGTAATTTTTCGGTATGACATGTTTCATTTTAGTTTTATTTGTGTACGATGTATACCATGCTTTGTGATACTTGGCTTAAGCTAAAATAAGGTCCACACGCATCAGCAAATCTTCATCATTACGTATTTTAGCAGTGGATACTTATTTGGCCTGAGCATTGAAATGGCAAGCCTGTGACAACGTTTTACCATCTTTTGAATTTTTACGTTTATTTTTAAGTTTGAGCTTGTATTTTTCATGTGATTTTGGTATTTCATGCTTTCTAATATTATCAAGTCTCAGACTGTAACATCCGATTTCAGCATATTTTCCTTTCATTATATTCAAACGCAAACCAGAGTCTCATATTTCTCCAATGTTAGGCTTTTTTCGTCTGTGCTTCTGTATAATCGTTTTATTAACGTTTGTATTGGCAATATTTAATACAAAAAAAAAAACATAAAAATACTTGGTTTAATATACTTGTCAATCCTTAATTAATTACTGATTGATTGACAATTAATAATTTACGAACATTGAACAATGATTGTTTTCTCCACAAGCAAACATTCGTAGACTATTAAGAGTCAACATATTGTGTAGAATTGAAGAAGGAATCTCGCAGTAAAAAGGAAATGGTAAATTAAACTTGCCATCACAATAACTATTGAAGGTATCATTTTATTTAATTTCAAAAGATGCATTAAAATGTCAAATATAAAAATTATATAAGGAAGACTATTAAGGTAATAATATCTGTCACTAAATTATATAGCATTAATACATTTACTATTTACAAATATACAATAGGTAAAATGTCTAAACATGGTATGTAATACTACAAGACAGTTAACACATACTTTTAACAACCCGCGAGCTCAATGTCGTTGTAGAACTGGGAAACATTTAAATCTGTCTACCTGTATTGCGCGAATATGATTGGCTGTCATGGTCATGACGTACATGATGAGCGTAATATATAAAATAATATTTAAAATTACATGATAATATTCGTTAATCTATCTGAATAAAATATATTAAAATGTGCATGCAATATATACAAATAATATAAAAATAATCTTGTAGACGCTTCGTAATATGTTGCCAACAACATAAATATTCAACAACATGGAAACCATTCTTATCAGTCTTATTTGGTTTACAACCAATTGAAAATCCAACGATTACAGATTCAGACAAATACTGCACATATTACACCATCTATAAATCATTAGCTCATACTAGTACATTGGTATCTAAACACAATGGGTTGAAAAACAATCAAGACATAAGTGGCTTGAAATTAAGGAATAACACAAAATTCAATAATTACAATATACAAAAACGTATTGGGTTGTATTACTTTAGTTATATCAAGCATCTTATGGGCATTAATATACTAGAATTACAATTTAAAGGGCGGTGATCGTCGCGCTGCACATGTGCGACATTTGTGTTGATAAACATTGATTTCCCCACAACCCAATGCGCTCTTCTAATGGACCTGGGCGTGACATGCACTAATTACCATCGGCGACTCCTTCGATACCTTCCAATCACCTAAAATATACCTAATTGAAGCTTGGTAACGTCTCAGTTTGTACTCGTTGATCTGCGCAAAAGTCAAAGTCGCCATCTTTGTTTATATGAGACCCATCCATCTCGCGCATGCGTGGCGCAACGACCACGCCCTTTAATTATGTCGATAGATATAAACAAGTCTGAAAATACGTGCAAATGGCATTTCTCTTTTCACGTCAGGGAGTACGGCGGCGGTGGTGGTGGATAATTTGTCATGGCAATGTCATGTCGACCTCCATACGGAAGGTTGTAATCTTCCTGTGTTGTAACGGTCACTGGAGATACGCGATTACCAGCGTGGGCTTGATGCTCTTTCTTTTGAGAGTAACTATAATACACAGAATATACAACGCCAACAATTATCCCCATGCAGACGAATATGAGGATTAGGATAAGTAACACGCGTGTTTCTGTGGACAAAATAAGAATTATCTAGTATTATACATTTTGTCA